ATTTGATGAAAACTTACCATGTGCCTTGCAGGCATTGTTTGAAGAACTTTATGTGCAATAACTCATCTTTGCTTCAACAACTTTATGAGATAGGAACTATTATAATGCCTATTTTATAGATAAGCAACCTGAGTCGCAGAGAGCCCAAGTCACTGGCTGAGCATTACCTAATTGTTAAGTGGTGGAGATGAGCTTTGATGCAAGGCAGTCTGACTCCACAGGGAAGTGCTTACGCTCAACATTGCACTGCCTCTCGGAAAAATAGAGAAGCTGAGTAAGAGACCTGCATATGGAATCAGAAGGATAATAGTTGACATTATATGAAGATAATTTCTACATAGGAAATCCAAGAATATCAGTAGACACCTGAGACAAAATATGTTTCATGTGTACCAGACTAACATATAAAAACATGTGCAAAATATTTAAAATAAAATGTTTATCAGTCAAATTGACAACTTGGGATTTGATTATTGCTTATTGCCCTTGTCCATATTTCTGCTGAACACTAGTCTATTTTTCACTTGTAGAACTCTTAGTGGAGCACTAAGCCTTTAACTAAAAAGTAAATTAAGTATGTTACCACAAAAATTAGAAAGAAAGAAAGGATGAAGAAAGTATCATTGTAGTCTTAGAATTTTATCTATGAACTACATAAAATCTGTTCTCTATATATTAATAAAAGTATAAAGATATTAAATATTGATTTCATTCTAATTAACTATCAGCAATATTTAGAAAAGTAAAAATTTTTCAATCTATTTCACAATAGCAAGAAAAAAATTGAGATCATCTAGATTGTAAAAACACTATACAAGGGCAGGTGCCATGGCTCACTTGGTTAATCCTCTGCCTGTGGTGCCAGCATCCCATATGGGTGCCAGTTCTAGTTTCGGTTGCTCCTCTTCCAGTCCAGCTCTCTGCTGTGGCCTGGGAAGGCAGTGGAGGATGGCCCAAGTGCTTGGGCCCTGCACCCACGTGGGAGACCAGGAGGAAGCACCTGGCTCCTGGCTTCAGATCAGCGTAGTTCCAGCCATGGTGGCCATCTAGAGGGTGAACCAACAGAAGGAAGACTTTTCTCTTTGTCTCTCTCTCTCTCTCTCTCTCACTATCTAACTCTATCTGTCAAATAAATTTTAAAAAAGAGCACTAAACAAAACCATGTATAAAATGTTTGGCATTATTTGTTGGCTTAGGGAACAACTGAATAACTGAGAGACAAATCATACACGCAGGGGTTCTATATCATAGAGATATCTACACACCTCCAAATTCATCTAGATATTCAGTGGTATCCCCATAAAAATATCAGATGAATTTTTCATGTTTCTTCAGACAATGATTCTAAATACACTTAAAAGAGTAAATAGTTAAGATTCCCCAGGGAAATTTGACAGCCACAAAAAAATGATATGCTTTATCAGTTATTTTAAAAACATCATAAAATTATTATAACAAAAAGCGTAATGTTGGAGCACACAGAGACAAGTGTATTTATCTTTAATATTTTTGTTTGGAATCAGAGATCCACAAGAACTTCAAATTAGTGAGAGGCCCCATGAGGCCCTCATACAGCTCTCCCAGTGCTGACATTCTAGACAAGCTTATCTGTGATGATGATGAAATAAGGAGTTTAGAAACCAACCCAAGAATACAGGTGCATGACATATGATGAAGATAGCAAAATAAATCAGAAAGGGATACAAAATAAAACAACATATTCCACAATTATCGTCATCACAGACAGAAATGGTAAAAAGCAAATGATTTAAATGAAAGGTCTCTGCGAGTGAGATCCCAGTGGAAAGAACGGGCCATCAAAGGAGGAAGTACCTTTCTCTGAAGGGAGGAGAGAACTTTCACTTTGACTATGACCTTGTCTAAATAAGATCGAAGTCAGCAAACTCAAGAGGCTTCCATAGCCTTGGCAACTCATGACAAGAACCTAGGGAGATTACTGACGCCATAAACAAGAGTGTCAATTGTTAAGTCAACAACAGGAGTCATTGTGCACTTACTCCCCATGTAGGTTCTCTGTCCTTAATGTGTTGTACAATGTGAATTAATGCTATAGCTAGTACTCAAACAGTACTTTATACTTTGTGTTTCTGTGAGGGTGCAAACTCTTGAAATCTTTACTTACTATATACTAAATTGATCTTCTGTATATAAAGATAATTAAAAATGAATCTTGATGTGAATGGAATGGGAGAGGGAGTGGGAGATGGGAGGGTTGTGGGTGGGAGGGAGATATGGGGGAGAAAAGCCACTGTAATCCAAAAGCTGTACTTTGGAAATTTTATTTATTAAATAAAAGTTAAAAAAATCAAACATTAAAAAATGCTTTTATCAGGAAAAAAAAGGCTGAAAATGTCTATATTATCCTGGGATGGAGGAAGCTTTCTTAAAGAAAATAGAATAGTACAAACAATAGCCACCAATAAACTTAACCACATCAAAACTTGAAACTTCCATAAATTAAAATGCAAGCTATAAACTAGTTGGGTAAATGGTAAATTGGAATAAAGTATTTACAACATATAACAAAAAAAATTTGTGTGGTGTTTGTATATATATATTTATTGCATGAAAGGCTAATGTCTCCCTTCACACGGGAACTCATGTTGTACAATATAGAACTATTGGTAAATAATGTTCCCTATGAGTTTTCTTAGAAAGAATTTGAGAATTGATATTGTGTTTGTGTGCATGCATGTGTGTGCATGCATGTATGGGTGTGTAAGGAGAAACTTGGCTGAATCTCCCCAAAGAATGTGCGTACCCTTCCAATAATCACATTTAGGCAGCTAAACTGGAGACCCTATTTGGAAAAGTTGGTTTGAAAAAGCAATAATATGGCTTTTTCTCTCTCTTTTATTAGCATCTTTTATGATTTGGATTTTTAAGATTTTATTGCCTCTAATGCACAGGCACTAGTAATAGCTCAAGCATGACAGAGCAAATGCATGGTAAATTTCATGAAGTTTCACTTCCCATATGACTTCTCCTAAGTGAATTATTTAAACACTCCCACACAGGTGTAGGAGCCCAAGGACTTGGGCCATTTCTACTGCTTTCCCAGGCCATAGCAGAGAGCTGGATCGGAAGTGGAGCAACCGGGACTGAAACCAGTGTCCATATGGGATGCTGGCACTGCGGGCAGCAGCTTTACCTGCTACGCCACTGTATCAGTCACATATGGTCATTAATTTTGATGAGCAATTATATTTAAATCATTTATACAGTGCCTGCTTCCTGTTAGAAACTTAAATACAGACAATTATTGTGTCTAGCACATATAAGGGCATGGAAACCTTACTCTAAAAGTGTTATGTGATATTTATAAACAGATTAATTATATATTAAATTGTATATTTTATATTAAATATACAGAATTATGTTTGGAAAAGTGCGCTGTAATTCCTAAGTTGATTATTCCATGAGTAGCCTAAAATATCTGTATTAAATCACTCTTCACCTAATTGTTAATTAATTGAATTGCAATAGAAGAATTTAAGAAGAATAAATAAATTAATAATAATGATGTTAGAAATTCATTTAAAGCTTAAAGACTGCATGATTTCTCAAGCTACCAATCAGAGGATTCACAGAGATGACTTGAGGAAAGAACCAGAGAGCAAGCAATGAGCTTGGCTTCGGCAGCAGAACAAGAGCTGACAAATAAACGAGTGCCTTCTCCAGAAGCGCTAAGAACTTCCTCCCTTTCAGCTACCAAAGGTTGCAGCTCCAACACCCTCATCCTCTGCATGAACGCCCTCATCCTCTGCATGAACACCCTCATCTTCTGCATGAACACCCTCATCCTCTGCATGAACACCCTCATCTTCTGCATGAACACCCTCATCCTCTGCATGAACACCCTCATCTTCTGCATGAACACCCTCATCCTCTGCACGAACACCCTCATCCTCTGCACGAACACCCTCATCTTCTGCACGAACACCCTCATCTTCTGCATGAACACCCTCATCCTCTGCACGAACACCCTCATCCTCTGCACGAACACCCTCATCTTCTGCACGAACACCCTCATCCTCTGCATGAACACCCTCATCTTCTGCATGAACACCCTCATCCTCTGCATGAACACCCTCATCCTCTGCATGCCACCATCACAACAGAACTTCCAACAGTGGATGGAGGAGAATACCTAGGGATCCAGGTAGGGAGAGGGCAAAAGGAAACAGCTAGGTGAGCGCCCTCTCTCGGTGAATGGCTGTGTGTAAATCCCCAGGCAACTTCCTTCTTGTCTGTAATAGTCCTGCTTACTTCCTTGATTGTGCTATCATAGTAAAAGCAACAATGGAAAATACAGCTACAGCTCATTGTATTTGTACTCTGTGACAAATCCTTTGCTTATTGAGGAAACAAGATAAGGTTCAGGCCATCTCAGTAAGGAGGAAAAAGAATACAAATTTCATGGGATAAAAAATAATTCAAAGATATGGTGGGAGCCGGCATTGTGATGCAGTGGATCAAGCCACCGCCTACAATGCCAGCATCCCGTATGAGCATCAATTCAAGTCCTGGCTGCTCCACTTCTAATCCAACTCCCTGCTAAAGCACCTGGGAAAGCAGTGGAAGATGGTCCAAGTGTTTGCATCCTGCCACCTACTTGGGAGACCCAAATGAAGTTCCTGGCCAGCCCCAGTCATTGTAGCCATTCGCGGAATAAACTAGCTGATGGAAGATATCTCTCTCTCTCTCTCTCTCTCTCTCTCTCTCTCTCTCTGAGTGTGTGTGGGTGTATGTGTGTGTGCCCCTCTCTCTGTAATTCTGCATTTCAAATAAATAAATCTTAAAAAGACTTTGTGCTAAGATCATTAAATTTATGTTTTATTAAAGAAGAAAGATATTTTTTCAGAAGGTAAAAGTCACGCCTCACATAATGGACAACAGATGGAGATCGTGTGGTGGTAAAAGTGTTGGTCTTGATCTTGTGTTGTGTCTGAATTTCCCAATCAATGCACAAGGCACAGTCACGAATGCAAAAGCAGAGATTTATTTGTTACCAGCCGGCTGGGACCTCCTACAGATACACACAGCCGTTTAGCAGTGCACAGGCAAGAAGCCCCCCTCATTTGTGTGAGAGAGATTTTTATAGCCTTACATTAACAAGGATGCACGTCATCTCATACGTAGGTTACCTTCTTATTCTCTATATGGCAAGGTATTAGGATCTAGCATGTTTATTGGTTCATTTAAACGTAAAGGCTATACGTTATGTGGCGGGAACGCCACACAAAGGAGAACTGGCGGGAAGCATTGGGCCATAAATTCCAGGGGAGCTTGTGGGGAGCAGAAGGTTATAAATCCCAGGGGAGCTTACTTTCTTTGTTCTCAAGGACCCGGCCTGCCTCCTTCCTGGTCCAGGATGAGGCCTGTCATGGTGTTACAGCAGGCAAGCAAGCAAGCCAGCGTACAGAAGCGAAACCGGCATTTAGCAAGCTAGGGACTCCAACTCCCACACTTGTACTCATTCCATGTCGGCTTTGGGAATCCTAAGATTGCTGAGCATAACCGTATCTTAGCCATGCACCAGGGGCAGAGGCAGGGCTCCCAAAAGGTCAAGTTCAGGAGCAGAGTAGTCTCTATTGGCTGTCATTTCAGGCATGCGAGAAGCTGAGGGTTAGAGAAGATGTTATTACAACAGAGTCCAAAGGGAGAAGGATGGAGTCCAGAAACTAAGAGCCATTCTTTTTGTATTTCATGGTCCTGAGGAAATCCAAAGCTGTTCTTGCTGTCGTGCAGCCCTTTTGCTGTTAGGCTGAGCATGGCTATACAGGAGAGTGCTTCTGCTGGTATGGCTGAGGCGGGCCCTGCACTGGTGAACACAGAGGACACGGCTCCTGGCACCACGGCAGGGGGCAGGGCTCCTGGCACCTCGGTGGGGGACACGGCTCCTGGCACCTCGGTGGAGGACAGCACTCCTGGCACCTCAGTGGGGGACACGGCTCCTGGCACTTCGGTGGGGGACACGGCTCCTGGCACCTTGGTGGAGGACAGCACTCCTGGCACCTTGGCGGGGGACAGGGCTCCTGGCACCTCGGCAGGGGGCAGGGCTCCTGGCACCTCGGTGGGGGACATGGCTCCTGGCACCTCGGTGGAGGACAGCACTCCTGGCACCTCGGTGGGGGACACGGCTCCTGGCACCTCGGTGGGGGACAGGGCTCCTGGCACCTTGGTGGAAGACAGCACTCCTGGCACCTCGGTGGGGGACACGGCTCCTGGCACCTCGGTGGGGGACACGGCTCCTGGCACCTTGGTGGGGGACATGGCTCCTGGCACCTCGGTGGAGGACAGCACTCCTGGCACCTCGGTAGAGGACAGCACTCCTGGCACCTCGGTGGGGGACACGGCTCCTGGCACCTCGGTGGGGGACAGGGCTCCTGGCACCTCGGTGGAGGACAGCACTCCTGGCACCTCGGTGGGGGACACGGCTCCTGGCACCTCGGTGGGGGACACGGCTCCTGGCACCTTGGTGGAAGACAGCACTCCTGGCACCTTGGTGGAAGACAGCACTCCTGGCACCTCGGTGGGGGACACGGATCCTGGCACCTCGGTGGGGGACACGGCTCCTGGCACCTCGGTGGGGGACACGGCTCCTGGCACCTTGGTAGAAGACAGCACTCCTGGCACCTCGGCGGAGGACACAGCTCCTGGCACTTCGGTGGGGGACAGCACTCCTGGCACCTCGGTGGGCACACAGGAGGTGGCTGGCAGGGCTGCTTGCACTGCTGTTCCTGGTAAGACATCTTTGGTGAATCTCGGAGAATCTGGAAGAAAACAGAGTGACAGAAAGATTCCATCTTGTGACAGAAGCCAACATCCTTGGAATGGGCTGAGGCAATATCCCTCCAGTCCCCAAGGATCTGTTTTGATCTTGAAAGCCTTCTAGGATTCCGCATGGATTTCCATCCTCACTCCCACCCTTTGTAATTCTTTTTGCTCAACACTTCAGTCTTTTTCTTGTCAATTTTTCATTTTGTCCCTTTCCCAAATAGCAATTCTCATTGCTATGAGACAGAAACATCCCACTAGAATATAAATATCACTGCCAAAATTTGAGCTGATTCACTGCAAATCCCTTCCACCCTCCTGTCTGTTCGTACAGTCCTGATCAGGAGTCTAACTGAGCTGATGCAGCCCTGAGCCAGGAGCTCTCTAGCAGAATGACAGGGTGCAAATCCAGCATCTGAGGGCTTGCACTCGCAGAGAAGGACACTGGGAACTGGAATGAGCAAGAAGTAGACATAATCTACTGTCTGTTACCCTCCATCAATTTAAAAATGACCTCTTGGCCGGCACGGCGGCTCATTAGGCTAATTCTCCACCTGCAGCGCCGGCACCCTGGGTTCTAGTCCCAGTTGGGGCGCCGGATTCTGTCCCAGTTGCTCCTCTTCCAGTCCAGCTCTCTGCTGTGGCCCGGGAGTGCAGTGGAGGATGGCCCAAGTGCTTGGGCCCTGCACCCGGATGGGAGACCAGGAGGAAGCACCTGGCTCCTGGCTTCGGATCAGCACAGCAAGCCAGCCTTAGCGACCATTTGGTGGGTGAACCAACGGAAAAGGAAGACCTTTCTCTCTGTCTCTCTCTCTCACTGTCTAACTCTGCCTGTCAAAAAAAAATAATAAAAATAAAAAAATAAATAAAAATGACCTCTTAACTTCATTTCCTTCGTGAATTTCAGGATTATCCCCCAAATACCAGCTAAAAATAGAATTCCACAGCTTCATTCTTTTCTTTACCCTAAACTTAAATCAGCTGTTAAAACAGCAATCATTTCTCTCCCCGGATGAGATCCTAACATCATCCAAATGCCCCAAAAGCCTCCAAGGGGTATACTCACCAGAGCCTAAAGATCTCTACTGAGTAGCAGGAGGTGGCAGCAGGGGAGTGGACAACCCTTTTATAAGGGCCAGGACGCCCTACATGGAGGGAAGCAGAGCAGCCCTTCACTGGAATGATCCACGCATTTCCCAACAAAAATGTCATCTGCATGAAATCCCAAGAATGAATAGCATGAAACACACAGGCCCACGGTGTTTCTCAGCAGGAGAGACTGTGTCCTGGATGGCGGAGCCTGCCTCCTGTTGCAGAACAGGAATCTGAGAGTTCTCAGCTGACTTGCTGGGAGATGGTTCCTGGCCCCAGCCCTTGTCCAGTTCCCCAACCCTTCATGCTTCCTGCATATAAAACTTACTCTTCATTCATTTCCATTGGCTTAGCAATGAGCTTTGTGCCCTATCACAAAGGGCTGAGCCTTACCCTATCATGTCCTTATTTCCAGCTCAGACAGATAGGTAGCTTAGAAAGATAGATAGATAGATAGATAGATAGATAGATAGATAGATAGATAAGGATAGAGGTGGTAGATAATAAGTAATAGATAAATAGGATATATGCTGGACAGATGATAGAATTGATGATAGATAATATAGATTTAGGTAATGCAAATGATATGAAGATAGAAGTACAGAGAGAAACATTTTCTTAATATTTAACTAGTTTGAAAAAGGTCACAAATCCTTTCCTCTGTCCTCTCAGCTGCAGGCTGACACGCCGGGGTCCCCTGCACAAGACTCCACGGCAGGCGCACTAATACACTGACCTGTTCACTAGCATCTTGGCAACTGTGGACCACGCTGCTTCTCTATAAGCTAAAATCATCTCCTATCACTCATTTAAAAATTATGCAGGATCTAAACTCTACAACACTGAAGCTTCCCCATTCTATTTTACACTGCCTTTTCCCAATTTGACTCAATTGGTTCCCTACAGTTTATTATTATTTTAAATAGCAATTAATGTGTTACTCAGACTTTCTTTTGGTACATTAGAGGACTTGAGCCACTCAATATATAGATAATTCCTCTTAAGTAAACAGCAGTTGTCACAGAAACATCGCGACTGAATTGCAGTAACTGCTGCTGTCCCCACTTGACTGGCTTGATTATGCAGTCAGCAGTGGGCACCGTGGCTGTGTGCCTTTACGGGTATCCCAACTTCTCAGAGCTCAGGCCTTTAGCTCTAACTTTGAAAAATATCAATAACAAGCACAACATTTTTTAAAATTTCTTAAGTGAATAATAATTCAAAACTGCATAATACACAAGGGGTCTCCAAAAAAATTACCTCCAAAAAGGTAGAGAAGTATTTGTCCTTATTAGCTAAACAGGAATTTAAAACAGGTGTCAAGATGCTCATGAGAATGACACACTTTAGTGTGCACCTGCTATCGTCTGTCTTCCAACAGGATCCTCTGCTAATTAGAAGGCTTTGGTATAACAGCACAGCTGGCTGCCCCCGGGGAAGGCTCCCCGCACTCTCGGAGAGAAAACTCAAAGCCTTGTGTGCTTTACTCAAAAACATGCCATGAAAATGTGGTGGGAAACTGGCAAGAAACTAATTTCAGGGCAGAAAAAATCATTTGAACATGAGGTGAAACCTAACTTCCCCAGGTGAAAAGGAGGTGAGCCTCCAAGCCCCCACTCAAGGCCAGGTACTCGGGCTACTTTGCTTGAAATGGTCCCTGATGAGACTTTCCTTCTCACTGCCCATGGAAATCCATGTATTGAAGATTCCATCAGCCTATTCTCAAGGCAAAATTAACTCCAATACAATAACAGAAAGAGGGGATAAAAACAGGTCCAAAATTATTTTTTGTTGCTACAGCTCTTAAGTGAGCAAGGTTGAGAATGGGAGTGATTTGTATATAATTTTGAGGTTAAATAAACCATGGATCCAAAAAAAATCTTCAGCTAATCTAAATGTTAGAAGACTGAGGACTGATTTTGTGTGCTATTGAAATCCCAAAGAAAAATCTTCTTGCATCTACAATTTTACATCCAGCCTGTTCATCAAATGTGAATGAAACAAACTCATTTCTGGAAATCCAAATTTTACATGTCCCTTTTCTGATGTAGCATGCTAATATTTGGCCCTGACAAAATAAAATCAAAGACTCAAACTGGGAAAGACTGGAAATGCAAAACCTGTGGACATAATTGAGAGTAATTAAGAGAGTGGAAGCCTACGGGAACAACTCCTTGGAGAAACACAGATCAAGGAGACTGCAGCAATACCTTTGTGGAGGACAAGAGGAAGGATTTTTTTTTCCATGAAGAAACTGTATCCAATAGAGTTAGAAAGAGCGAGGGCCTGGTTTACTTAAAGATAGACATCAGTGGAAAGCTGATAAATTATCATCAACCAGCCGGTGCTGTGGCTCAATAGGCTAATCCTCTACCTGCCGCGCCAGCACACGGGATTCTAGTCCCAGTCAGGGCACCGGATTCTGTCCCGGTTGCTCCTCTTCCAGTCCAGCTCTCTGCTGTGGCCCGGAAGTACAGTGGAGGATGGCCCAAGTGCTTGGGCCCTGCACATCCATGGGAGACCAGGAGAAGCACCTGGCTCCTGGCTTCGGATCAGCGCGGTGCGCCGGCCGCATCGGCCATTGTGGGGTGAACCAACGGAAAAAGGAAGACCTTTCTCTCTGTCTCTTTCTCTCACTGTCCACTCTGCCTGTCGAAAATAAATAAATATTATCATCAACCAATTCTCCAGATGTAGAAAATGCCTTAGGTAGACCTTGCTGTTCTCAACACAACAGCTACAGATGCTGCAAGCTTTTCAATCAAGCCCAGAGTTGTAACATTTTCCAACAATCGGCTCTCATGAGCTGGGAAGAGATGCTCCACTTGATATAGTGACAGCATGCTTTCTCATATCAAAAGAAAGAAGAGGAGGAGGAACAAGAGATGCCAAAGAAATCAAATACAGGAAAGACAGATTAAATATGAATCAAACTGTAAGATTATGTTCATTTGATGCTAAAAGTGTTTTCCTTTAAATAACAAAGGAGCCAAAGCATAAAGCCGCATAGTTTAAAAAATCACAATACCAAGAAACTATCTGATTATACCATGAACAGTGCATATATGCTCATAGTGGTATCTGATAGTGCCTTCCAGTGAGGCAGACTTGGTTCTAAATACTTTATATGCACTTAAAAAGTTAATGCTCAATAGGGGAAACCCTTCAAGATATAGGAATAGGCGAAGAATTCCTGGAGAAGACCCCACAGGCACGGGTAATCAAAGATAAAATAAACAAATGGGATTACCTAAAATTGAAGAGTTTCTTAACAGCAAAGGAAACAGTCAGGAAAGCGAAGAGGCAACCAACAGAATGGGAGACGTTATTCGCAAACCACACAACAGATAAAGGATTAACAACTAGAATCTGGCCGGCGCCGCGGCTCACTAGTCTAATCCTCCGCCTAGCGGCGCCGGCACACCGGGTTCTAGTCCCGGTTGGGGCGCCAGATTCTGTCCCGGTTGCCCCTCTTCCAGGCCAGCCCTCTGCTGTGGCCAGGGAGTGCAGTGGAGGATGGCCCAGGTGCTTGGGCCCTGCACCCCATGGGAGACCAGGAAAAGCACCTGGCTCCTGGCTCCTGCCATCGGATCAGCGCGGTGCGCCGGCCGTAGCGCGCTGGCCGCGGCGGCCATTGGAGGGTGAACCAACGGCAAAAGGAAGACCTTTCTCTCTGTCTCTCTCTCTCACTGTCCACTCTGCGTGTTAAAAAAAAAAAAAACTAGAATCTACACAATGATCAAAAAACACCACAGAATCAAAACAAACAACCCAATAAAAAAATGGGCCAAGGACCTTAACAGACATTTTTCAAAAGAGGAAATCCAAATGGCCAACAGGCACATGAAAAAATGCTCAGGATCAATAGCCATCAGGGAAATGCAGATCAAAACCACAATGAGATACCACCTCACTCCGGTTAGATTGGCTTACATACAGAAATCAACCAACAACAGATGCTGGCAAGGATGTGGAGAAAAGGGGACACTAATCCACTGTTGGTGGGAATGCAAGCTGGTAAAGCCACTATGGAAGACAGTCTGGAGAGTCCTCAGAAACCTGAATATAGCACTACCACAGGACCCAGCCATCCTACTCCTTGGAATATACCCAAACGGAATTAAAGGGGTGAAAAAAGCCATTTGCACCTCAATATTTGTTGCAGCTCAATTCACAATAGCTAAGACATGGAATCAACCTAAATGTCCGTCAACGGATGACTGGATAAAGAAACTATGGGATATGTACTCTATGGAACACTATACAGCAGTAAAAAACAATGAAATCCGGGCATTTACAACAAAATGGAGGAAGCTGGAAAACATCATGCTGAGTGAAATAAGCCAGTCCAAAAGGGATAAATATCACATGTTCTCCCTGATCGATGGCAACTAAACGAGCACCTAAAATGATACCCATTGAAGTGAAATGGACACTATGAGAGACAATGACATGAGCAGCCCTTGTCTAGACTGTTGAGGAAAAACTTACTATTTTGTTCCTTTAGTATTTTTGTTGTTGTTGTTGTTGCTCGGTATGCTCTACACAAGACCACTGGTTGAACTCTGCAATCAATGCACAACCATTCTTAGGCGTTTAAAAATTAATAGGAAATTGATCTCTGTGGAACATGGGAGTGGGAATAAGAGAGGGAGGAGATATATAGGACGGCACATACTCACTCAGACCTACCTCCAATGGTGGAACTGGAAATGTGCCAGGGGATTTCAACTCAGTCTTACCAAGGAGGCAGGTACCAATGCCAGCACACTTGGTAAAGTGACAAATATAAATACACAACTGATCCAAAAGATAGGGTAAGTGTCGAAGAGATTACACAAATAAGACCAGTGTAAGCAAATAATGAACGATAGAATCAAAAGGGTTGAGAATGATCCTGCGGGGGAAGCAGGTCACACAGCAGACTCATAGAATGGCAAATGCCCAAAACAGCACTCCTGCCTCAGAATCAACCCTTGGGACATTCGGATCTGACTAAAAGGTCCATGAGAGTCTC